TGTTTAAAATTATTATAATTTATTAATATATTAATACAATATAAATTTCATAACTTTATTGTATATTTCCTTTCCCTTCATCCAACTCATCTATTCATTTTTCTCCTCTTCCTCCCTTCTCATTCATGCTGTTGTTTTTGTTGTTTGTTGCCTTTGAGTCAAGCAGGACTCACAGGAACACCATGAACAAAAGGTCTGAAGCTCCTTTATAACCACTGACATTTATCAAAGTTCATAGAGTTTCTGGAAGCATGTGGTTTAGGAAGTGGATGCCACTCCTGCTTCCAACTCATCCATGCTAACCCTGAAGAATTTATTCTTTTTGTGTGTAAACATTTCCTTAGCTCTTTAGATTTGGGATTTTATATAGTAATTTTTCTTTTTGACTGAATTATGACACTCAGAATAATTTGTTCGAGATTCTAAATAAATTCAAAAGCTCTTTTTCTTTTTCAGTGATGCATAATACTCCAGTAGGATAGGGTTCACCATGAGTCATACTAGACTTCATGGCACCCAAGAACCACAATATTCCCTTGCGTGAATTTATCACAGTGTCTTTAGCTTTTGGCCACCAAAGGACACACATGATTTGTAATCCTTTTTTGCTTTCATAAATAGTCTGCAAAAAACTTAGGTGTGATATCTCAGTTTGAACTAGCGTACCATTTGTCCATTAGTCCCACAGCCTCATATGTATCATGAAGCAGTAAGAGCTACAATATAACTGTATTTTTAATTTAGCATTTCTAAAAGTTAGATTTTATTTTAAAGTCAACAGACAAAAAATACTTAGGCTGTCCTCTGTGTAGCACATAGTGAGATGTTATATTTTTCTCTATTCTTCAGAAAATAAGATGTACATTTTCCAGTTCTCAGAAATATTAAATTTAAAAAATAATGAAAAGGAATGGGATTACTGCTTCCTAAAAAGTCTGAATAAGCAGCTTTAATCATGATTTGCAAGGAATGTATGTTTCCATGTGGAAAAATCGTATTGGTCATATGTAACTGAAAATTGACTAGAAAGTATTGATTTTTTCAAAGTTAAGAGTACTTTAAGTTATAAAGATTCTTGAGGTTTTTGATATATTTTTATTTTATTCTTCTGTGAATGCAGTGTTGCCATAATACTGCGCTTATAACCTAGTCGATAATAACCATATGCATTTAATGTTGAAACAATTTATTTGGTTTTAAATGTTATTCCTCTTTCTCTTTTTCTCTAAAGCCTCAACAAAATGTTCCTGGAAACAATGGGAGCTCACAAGTTGAATCAACAAAGGAAGAAAAGATAAATACCACTGAATGTGATTCTCAAAATGTAAGATTAACTTAAAACTATCTTAAATACATTTGGCATGAAAACATGGACCCAAGTTAGCAACTTTGGTTAATGTTAAACTAAAATTATTTACTTATATATCGCATTCATTATCTAAACATTGTACATTTAAATGTAAAGAAGTCAATGGTCATTGAGCGTGATCACCCAGGCGTGTGACTATTAGTGGACATTTATCTCTTATGGGCTATCATGCACATTTTCTGTCAGAAGTGGGTACATGACCATAACGTTCAGGAGCCTTCTCATTCTCACAAATACTGCAGAGAAAGCTGCTAAACTCTGAAATGAAAAGTACTAATGATCCGATTCTTTCTATAAAGCAAATAAACCCAGTATTACTGAGCCATTACATTAAAGGATAGGGAGATCACTTCTCCAAATAATAGGAGATGTAAAGCTTGCAACTTGTGGCTTTTCACTCACAAAAATACAATTTAATTTTACTTTAGAATTGTAACAAAATCATGGTTATAAATGGCTTGTGTCTGCTGCAGCTATTAACTTTTGAAAAGACACTAGAAAATAGCAAAAGAAATTAAGAAAAATAAACAAAATAAATTAACTAATTCATTCTTCTTTTCCCCTATGCTGGCAGTTGAAATGGACTTAAAAAGAACTGATTCCTCAGCAAGTCTGTCCTAAAATCTAAGTGTATTTAAACATTTACCAAATAATATGTTGAAGCATAAGCAGGTTAATGAGAAGTAGAAAGAAAATGATCTGCAATTTGCATCAAAAGGAGGAAGAAATGAGAAAGGCTTCAGTCAGGAAAGAGTATCTTTTTTCTGTAGTTTGTAGTAGGGGAGAGTGAGAATACAGGAACATTAGGACTAGGAACAGGGTGCAGATAAGGAAAACCAGGTTTTAAGAAGGTCATTTGGAACTAAAGTGTTAGGAATCCTGGAATCTCAAACTCAGGATTTTGAGTTACGATGGAGCTGACATTTTCAAAGGTGAGTGTATGACTTAGTTGTTAATTTTGAAGAACATTTTTCACCTTGAGAACAAAAAAATATCACGTGTATGTGTTTATATATTATTGTTGTTGTGTTCCATAGAGTAAAAATTGTCATACAGTTGAATTTTGAGCGGGTTTTCGGAGGCTGTAAATTGCATGAGAGGAGATTACCCATCCTTCTCTGATGGAGCAGTTGGAGGATCAAAAATATGTGCCTTGGGCCTATATAGCACAGCTTCTTACTACTAGGACAACACACACACACACACACACACACACACACGAATATTAAACTAATATTAAAACCATTATTCATATATGAGGAAGCAACTAAAAAGGTCTGTGTGTTTTACTTAAAGTTTCCCTAAAGCATTGGCAGTCAGTATTGTAATCAAGTGCAAGACCTCTACACAAAATTATGAATGGGTATATATGTGTGTGTCTCTTTGTATGTGATTTTCATGTGGCTTCCCCATTTGTTGTCCTTCTGATCTCTAGTAACTCCACAATCTATATTCAATAAATTTTATGAACAACTTCTACCTGGCATTGTTCCCTCTTTGGGTTATTGCAAAGAGCAGCCTTCACCGGCACCAGTGTTAACATTCTCTGGTGAGTCTGCTTTTTACTGGCTTTTTGTCTTTGGTGTCCAATTCTGAGGAGTACACATTTAAGTATTGGAAATTCAGTATTCTGAGACTATAGAAGATACAAATATGTTTAAAGGCCAAGTCAGCAACAAAAATTAATGAAACCAAACAGAATTAAACCATAAGAATTTGTGATACATTGTGGATACAAGTTCCAGTTGTAGACGAGTCATTGGAACCTTGTCTTCATAGGGATGCTGATGAACACATAGGAAATACTGATACCACAGGTATATTAAAGAATAAGTAACTTATAGCTTCTATGTATGGTGCCCGGACATATGTTTCCATTATAATAACTCTTGATCATGTTAACACATAGCTTAATTTTATAGCATATTAGAAATATAAATGTTGTTATTGTGTACAGTCTAAATGGAACCCATAGCTGTCTCACTGGAGGATTTTCAAAGGCATTTAATTATACTGGAGGAGATTGCCCATCCTTCTCCCATGGAGTTCTGGTCGCCTCGAACAGCATGCCTGTGGGACTACAGTACAGCTGCATTAGTAATTATGAGTGACTTAAACACAAAAGTTGGGAAGAAAGAAGAAGGATCAGAGGTCAGAAAACAAAGCCTTGGTGACAGAAATGAGGTTGGAGATAGATTGATAAAATTCAGCGTAATCAGTGATTTATTGATTTCAAATAATTTTTCTAAGAAACATAAATGCACACTATACACATAGATTGTACTCGATGGTTTGTATAGGAATCATATTGATTCTGGAGAAGCTCAATATCAACTGTGAAAACTAGACCAGGGGCTGCTATGGAACATACCTCCAACTATTCATATGCAAGTTCAAGCTGAAGCTGAAGAAGGTTAAATCAAATCCATATAAGCCAAAGTTTGACCTTGAGTCTAACCTTTTGTGAATTTCAAAGCCATCTCCAGAAGATTTGAGGGCATGAACACTTAATGAGAGAAGATCAGATGAGCTATGGGAGGATATCAAGAAAATCATCAATAAAGAATGCAAAAGATCATTAAAAAGAGAGGAGAAAGAAAAGACCAAGGTGGATGTCAGATGAGACTGAATATTTCACTAGAGCACAGGGAAGTTAAAACACAGTGATGACATCAAGAAATTAATGAGCTGAACAGAGTATTTCAAAAGGCAGTGCAGAAATACAAAGTATTATAATGAAATGTGCAAAGAGTTAGAGACAGAAAATTGAAAGGGTTGAAATCATTCAGCATATCTTAAGCTGAAGAAACTGAAGAAAAAATTCAAGCCTCAGGTTGCAATATTTAAGGATGCTTTGGCCAGAATATTAGGAGCATACAGAGTCACTGTATCAAAAGGATTGGCTGACATAGAAGAATTTCATGAAACAACGTTCAAGAAAGAGCCTGTGGTGATGAAAGAAGACATTCAAGCAGTTCTGAAAAAAAATCAAGGCCCCAAGAATTGATGGCATACCCATTGACATATTTCAACAAACAGATGCTGCCTTGGATGTGTTCACCAAGTTGTTCCAAGAAATCTGAAAGACAACTACCTATCCAACTTACTGGAAGAGATCTATATTCCCATTCCCAGGAAAGGTGACCCAAAAGAGTGTGGAAATAATTGAACAATATCATTAATATCACAATTCAAGCAAGATTCTGCTGAAAATTATTAAAAAGAGTGATTGGAACAGCACATAAACAGAGAACGGCCAGATGTGCAGACTTGTGTTAGAAGAAGCCTTGGTACTAGGGATATTATAGCTAATGGTAGATGGATCTTGGCAGAAAGCAGAGAGTACCAGAGGAATGTCTATCTGTGTTTCATTTACTATGCAAAGGCATTTGCCTGTGGATCACAACAAACTGTGGCTAATTCTGAGAAGAATGGAAATCCCAGAACACTTGGTTTTGCAAGCAGATCTTATATTTGGACCACAAAGCACTTGTCAGAACAGAGCAAGGAAACAATGCACGGTTCAAAACAGAACTGGTATACATCAGGGATATGTCCTGTCTCCTTACATTTTAAATCTATATATCGAACAGATTAAGAGGCTGGGCTATATGAGGAGGAATGTAGCATTAGGATGGGAGGAAAACTCATTAACAACCTATGCTACACAGATGACACAACC